GAGAGAGAGAGAGAGAGAGAGAGAGAGAGAGAGAGAGAGAGAGAGAGGGGGGGAGGAGGAGGGGTCACGGAGTCTCACATTCTACAAACGTGGACATGTATGCAGCACGTATATGATGAACATGATAGACTCGAATTGGATAGACCAACAATACAACGTCCAACTACAGAAAAATTACCCTAAAGAATGCAAACGGGCCAATTAGGTCAACGGTGGAAAACTCAACAGGACTGGCACGTATTCTCATAGTACTATCGCCTGCTACTGCCATCACAGGAATTGGTTCTTCATATAAATGTGAAAATCATTCCATCTTCTCAAGCAAGACAAACAGGCGATTCAAAAGGAACCAATCCTAGAGTGTTTCTGTTGCTATTATTATACACGGAGAAATCTGGATACCGATCAGTTGCAAAGGCGGTATACATTCACATTCACATTCTGCTACACAATTATCGGCGACATTCTGTGGCTTTGAAATCGGACACAACGAGTGTAATTTTATTCAATTCACACGCTGGCAGAACTAACATCCTCTAACCATCTGGGCGCTGGGCAGTTGAAAAAGGAAAAAAAAATTTCTAAACGCGTGATATCTGGATTTTCAGTATCACTAAAGACTTTCTAAAGACCAACGTTCTCATTGAAGTATGAAAAGCTGTAGTTTTGACCCCATGACACATGACACATAATTGGACAAAATCCTCTACCACGTTTACAGTTTCTAAAAAAAACTCTAGACAGGAAGGGTAAATAATTACATATATATTATATATATATAAATCGAAATGTCCAAGCAAACGTCCAAGAGCACTAGCTTTACACATAAAATAATTAACAGGCATTACCGTTGGGAAAATTTACAACGTGAAGACAGCTGAAAGTAGGAATATATTCGAAATTACTAAAACACATTCACACGTGCCCTGGGTTACCACACCAACCCAATCACTATGTTAAACAGTGAAAGAGTCCCTGTATTACACACAGTAGCTCTTTGTCATAGTCACCGAGACCGTTTACGATCGCTGTCATCCTACCAGACCTACCTGTAGCCTATAATTTCTAAATTATTGCAATACAGCCCACATTGTGACGCAGGCCTTTTGGCTATTTTAGTGTACATGGCAATGTGCCGCGGGGTGATCGTTTCAAATCTGACTGTCCTTGCAATTTAGTTTTTCTCACGCGACCGTTTATAGCAACCTGCGGTCTAAACGAGACGCTCCCCCACACCAGTACGCACACGCACACGCACACGCACACGCACAGTGACGCACACGCACAGTGACCCACACGCACAGTGACGCACACGCACACGCACACGCACACGCACACGCACACGAACACGCACACGCACAATAGGTAATATTAAATAGTAATAGTAATTAATAGTAATTAATTAATAGTAATTAATAGTAGTTTAATAGTAATATTCCCTATTATCTACTCCTGATCTATATAAACGAAAGATAAACATAAAACCAATAATGTATATATATATAATAATATAGATAATAAAGATGATAAATATATAACAACGAATGTGTTGTGTGTGTGTGTGTGTGTGTGTGTGTGTGTGTGTGTGTGTGTGTGTGTGTGTGTGTGCGTGCGTTGCGCGCTTGCGGCGTGCGTGCGTCGTGCGCGTGTGGTGCGTGTGCGTGTGTGTGTGTGCGTGCGTGCGTGCGTCGTGCCTGCGTGTTTGTGTGTGTGTGTGCGTGCGTGCGCGTGCGTGCGCGTGTTGTGCGTGCGTGCGTGCGCGTGGTGTGTGTGCGTGTTTTGTGTGTGTGTACTGTGTAGAGAGAAGCAAAGAAATGGAGTGTCTGTAAATGTGATCATGGCAGAATTCCAACACAGGAAGTTGGTTGTTTTAAGTTCTTTTGGTGAAAAGGAAAAGTTCGGTTGGAGGGTGCTACAATTTTATGAGGGTACTATTAAATTCGCAATGCTCCGGATACCCTGAGAGATTTACTGTTTATAATACACAATTGTTAATTGTAACAAGAGCGTAATAAAGAAGGTAATTCTTAATACTCTTCTTAATACGCTCTTGATTGTACATATATATGCGAGACGTGCTAGGCAGATAAATTGGCCAAGAATACGTTGCCCTCAGGCCATCCTTTAAAAATTATATGTTTGCTGTCCTTCGACCGACCCAGAAAATAGCCGCGACCCAAAAGTTTTTTTTTACATTTTTTTTACATTTTTTTCTCAGAGTTAAGACTGAAACACAAAGCATGTGTGGCAACATAAGGACAGACTTATAAATAATATCCCAGTATGGTACT